ATATGAGGATCCGGATGCGGAGGAGGGAGATGAGCTGTTGATGATGCTGCCCACCGATATTGCACTCAAGACGGACCCATCCTTCCGACAGTGGGTGGAGAAGTATGCAGAGGACAAGGACTTGTTCTTTGACCACTTTGCGAAGGTATTCGCGAAGTTGGTCGAGCTGGGTATTCGACGAGACGAGAAGGGTGCTGTTCTCAACACCGACAATGTCAAGGGAGGTTATATCTCTGCTCCCAAGAAGAGCAACACGCCGACAGGACCACCGAAGAAGCCGAAGGCCGAACCTGTGCGGGCCAGGCTGTAAATACGCGATGGATATTTGGGAGGATCATGATTTGATATACCATAGAAGGATTTAGAGGACTGGATAGAGACCGAAGCGTGTACATTGGCTAGAGTAATAAATCTCAAGTTTATCATAACGAAGAAACGAAGAAGCCCGTCATTTCAAAGTAGTTGAGAGAATGAAGAAAGCAAGGAGAGAGAAAGAAGCGAGGGAGAGACATAAAGAGAGAAAGGGAAAAAGGCCGGGGGATTCAATGAATGCGGGGAAAGGTCCATGCGCTGACTTTGGCCCGGCCGTCATTGGCTCCCACCGGCATAGCTGCCAACGCGTTCACCTTGAAACCAGCCCAGTAGCCGTGCTAGGTTACTCCATTCCATCCTTGCTAGTCGGGAGACTAGAGGTACTAAAGCTGCTCGGTTATTGAGAGAAAGGGTTATTGTGCCGGTATGACCTACTAGTTCCTTTCCCCTTTTTATTGTTCCCCGAATTTCTGGACCAGGATCCGTTCTTTGAGTAAATATATGAACTACCACCGCTGAAGACGGCATTCTACCCATGAAAGTAAATCGAACAGAATGTTTCCCTCATTGAATCCGATGTAATAGTAAGTGCTTTCTAAATTTTGAAAGAAGTTGTCTTGTCTATGTTGTATTCTATCTATCATATCTGAAACCCGAACCTAAGCTATAGGGGGAGAGTCTTAATCCATCGCTCTTCATTTTTGGTTGGCTAGCATGTCTTCATGGTCGTGGTGCGCCTGGCGGGGCTGCAGGTGAAGACCTCAGTGGCGAGGCCTCTGGTGGCCGGGTCTATCCACCCAATACTCCGGACGGGGTGGTGGTAGCTGTGGTGGTGGTAGCTGTGGTTGCTGTCGCGGCGGCGAGGATTGACCCATCATGGTAGGCCCATGGCCACCATGGGCGCTACCAGTCTGGTTTGTCAGTTGCATTTGGTTGGTCATTGCCTGTACGGCTTCATAAGACGGTGGATTGGTGGTCGGAATCCCCGGGCTGTAATCGACTCTCTGTTGAGGAAGAGCTACAGGAGAGGAAGCCAAAGACCCATGGAGAGCTGGATTATGGAGAGGGGGGTGTTGCCGAACAGGGCTGGCAGGAGGCACATATTCTGGCCTAGTTATGTACATCGGCCTGGCCATAGGAGGCGGTGGCATTGCACCACCTACATACGGTGAAGCTGACATCATGATCGCAGAGGATGGAGTATTTGCTGACATGATCGGTGTGGGGGACATGGACATAATAGCGTATGGATGAGCTGGAACGTAAGGCTGTGCTCGCGCTCTTCTAGGCCTGCTAGGTGCAGCCTGCTCTTGGCGTTGCACCTGGGGTTGTACCTGGGGTTGTACCTGGGGTTGCGCCGGGGGTTGCGCCTGGGGTTGCGTACCGAGAACTAGCATGTTTCGAAGATCCGAATTGGCACTTTTAAAGCGTCTCATAATTTCAGGCAGATAAGGTATCCAAGTATATGGGTTCTGCTGCCGAGGTGGTAGTTCGGGCGGGGCCCAACCAGGACTTTGCTGGAGGAAAAGCTCACCCTGGGAGGCAGACTCCAGCATGCCGCTAACTGCACTCACAGCTACTTGGAGCTCGCCAATACTCGGGTTCATAACCCGCTCGTAGAAGAGCAAGGGGATCTGCTGATTTCTCCAAAAATGCTCGGGCACTTGGTCCGGGCGGTTTTCTGACGTGGGAAGTCCAAGTATGGCTCCGTCGTGCAAATGGCTTTCATACGAACGCAGGTTCGTGCAGCGCACCCCACGTTCGGCATCCGTCCACAACAGGCACAATAGACCTGGCGCTGAATGGTAAATCCCTCCTATCCAGCGGTATGTGACTCTCTGCCCCTCACCACGATCATCATGATATGATAGGGTAATGTCGTTTTTATGCGACCGTATAGAAACATTAGGACCGAGTTCCACTACCAGGCGCATGGGGACGTTGTTGAATCGTCTCTCATAGTTAACAGAGTGGTTACATTTGATGCAGGTTCTCTGGCGCTGAGGGTCAAATACCCGAGATAGCACTTCCTCCATACTCACGCCGTTCCGATCAGTCTCAAGCACAGGCGGTGCCAGAGTGGTCAAGCGGGTGCCATCCACAGTGGTTCTGCTATTCCTGGCTGGCCCACACTCACAGTGCGCAGTAGTTTCTTCATTGTACGAATAGGCGAATTGGTCAAAGTTGCGCGTTAAATTGCGCCAGACGGTTCGCATATCCTGAGTAGGCCCCGTGCCCAATTGAACATTTTCTGTGAGCAACCTAGCAAAACATTCGACTAGCCCAACACTCATATCTCTATCGAAGAAATCCCATTGAGCATCGGTCGCTTCAATGAAGGCTCGCTCAATAGCTGTGAAGCGATCCTGCCAGCCCCGCTGCTTGCGGTCGATGTTGGTGGACCCGGCATCTAGCAGTCGGCCTGCGATGATAGCACAGCCAATCGCACTTTGGCTGGGGTTCGTGCTAACAGGGCCTCGGCCTCTATAAGACCTGGTACTCCGGGGGCGTCGCGGGTTGTCTGAGAAGTGCAGCTCTACCTCAGCTGTTATTGGGTGTAAGCTGTACTGGACATTGTTCATGGTATTTAAGTCGGCGGTCAGCCATCGTCGTGGCATGTCCAACGGGGCAGCAGTCTGATGGCGTTCAAGCTCGTGATAGGCTAATTTCATGACAGCACGTTGCACTGCCTCAGTAACTAACTGGGCATTCTGGGTAGGTAGTGGTTCTGCTCTCCGGAACTGCTGGGATGTAGAAGTTGTGGTGTTAGGGTCACTGACACCTTCGGTGTTCTGTTCACTTGGTCTCCGGCTCTCTGAGAAGCTTTCTCTATGCTGCGTAGCAGGGCTTTCGACTTTTGTCGTTTGAGTTGGTGTTCTGCCACCCGAGGAACATTCTTCCATAGGATCCCCGTCATCACGGTCAGGGGTTTCCTCCTCTTCGATGTCGGTCATTTCATCCTCGACGTCCTCAGGACTGGTTGAAGGGAGCCACTCTGTATGTTCGGAATCTTCCGAATTGTCAGTACTACTTTCAATGTATTCGCTTTGTTCTTCTTCCGTTTGATCCCCTTGTGGTGTCGCAAGTTCAAGAAGCTCTTCGTCGAGCCTACCGAGTTTATATAGTTGCTTTTCCATAACCTTCACATACACCTCCGGTATATCACCAGAAGACCTAACAGACCCACGGGTCCGTGAGTCTGATGCTTGCAAAACCCTTGGGGGATCAGGGGAACGCCTACTTATGGGTAGGTAATTGTTCAAGCCCTGAACACACCCCTGTTTCAGCAATCGAGGGCCGGCGTCCCTTTCCCAGTTGAAAAGTTCTTCCACTGACTTGGGCTGATGATATTCAGCTTGATTCCAGATGATTTTCAACAGGATTGCCACTTTTACCCGCCTTGGCGGAAGGGAAGAACGAGAATCAGTGTTATAGTTATACCCCCAGCCATGAAATTCCAGCAGCTTGTCGTATACGCCCCTGCCCCCGTTGAGCAGCATATCGGTCAACGTCTTGATGCGTTTTCCGCATAGTCGGTCTGTCTCGGCAGGCTCTTCGAGCTGGTCAACATCGAAGAGCGGGTGCCTACACTCGACATATTCAATTGGCTGTGAGGCTGACTCCATTTTGCTTATTGCTTCGAGGACCGTGAGTAGTTCAGCAGAGAGGATGCTTGGGTGAATGAATACTGGTTATTTGGCTTTTGGAAGGAACACAAGGCAAAGCAGCTGCTGATAGAAAATGTGGAGAGACCGATCAATCTGCTTCATACTTATACCCCAGGGAAATCTCATGTTACACAGTGATGAAGACTCAGATATACTGAGCATCACTGCAATATCCGTCATTTGGTGTGTATTTGCAAACAGAGAACACTTTAGTTAGGCAATTTGTCAAGTACATATTGCAATTTGACGGATTTGGCTGGCATATTCCTTGCAACCAGCCGAGGAGAATGTAGGAGAAATCATTCTCAATAGGTGTTTCAAAACAAAGGTATAATCTGGAGGCATATTCCAAACACACCAGTGATCATATGACGGAGATATCTGCTAACGAGGCACTTGGAAAGCTGAAGATGAGGTGAATCCCGTCGTACCGCGATGTTCTATATCACACATGCCTCAGGCATAAATCAAATGCTACACGACTGGCATACACGGAGTACCGTACCAGAACACCCAGATCACGTGCACAATACAGTCAAGTGATAATATACCCTATTACGGAATAGCCCGAAGCACAAGCGAGCCCTGAATCCCACCATACCCGAATAGGCTAGAGCCCAGCTTACCCGATCCCACAACGGGCGAGAGCAAAGTTGGAAGAAGCACTCGCAAGCCCGCCTCGATTTCACCTCCTTCTCATCCCTCTCGCCTGTCGACAATCAATCGCGGTCCTTCGCGCCATCGCCCATCATGTGTACGTGAAAGACCCTGAAATCGGATTTCCAACCCTGCATCTTTGATTTCCGTCGCTGTTCGTTTTTTGCCGGTCATTTTGGGAGGAAATATTCATAAATCGCTGGGGGTTTTTGTTGGAGGAGATTATCATCGCGGATACAGACGGGCAGGAAACAGCGGCGACGGAATCATTAAAATTTCTTGCTCCATCATCATCATCATCATTATGGCAACAACCGATTTTGCAAGACAGAAAGGCTGACTGCGGTTTTTTCTTCGGAATTTTTAGCGCTCGTGTCCGGCGAGAAGACGAACTTCCAGTACATTCTGCGTCTGCTCAACACCAATGTTGACGGTAAGCAGAAGATCATGTACGCCTTGACCCAGATCAAGGGTGTTGGTCGCCGTTACTCCAACTTGGTCTGCAAGAAGGCCGACGTTGACCTCAGCAAGCGGTACGTTTACACTACCCTACTTTCCTCGATGGTTTCGAACAAATGGGGGGAGGAAGACGAGTTGGTCGCACGGACATAATAAGAGGAGGGAAAAAGGGCTACGAGAACACAGAAACCCCGAATGGATAAGGGATACATACAAGAACATCAAGTTGACTTTGATATTTCTTACAGCGCTGGTGAACTCACCACCGAAGAGCTCGAGCGTATCGTCACCATCCTCCAGGCCCCCACCCAGTACAAGATCCCCACCTGGTTCCTCAACAGACAGCGCGACATCACCGATGGCAAGGACTCCCAGGTCGTCTCCAACTCCCTCGACAGCAAGATCCGTGAGGATCTCGAGCGCCTGAAGAAGATCCGCTCCCACCGTGGTCTCCGTCACTACTGGGGTCTCCGTGTCCGCGGTCAGCACACCAAGACCACCGGTCGTCGTGGACGCACCGTCGGTGTCAGCAAGAAGAAGAACTAAAAAAACAATCATCGGGGTCATATCATCTGCGTTTGTTTCTTCGTACTTGCTGGAGTGGATCGTGGGAAGGATGGATTCCTTTTGTGTATGTTGGTGTGGATTTTTTTAACGAAATCTTCCCTGGGACCGGGAACAATATTAGAAAATGCCGTGTCCGAAATGAAAAGAATCATACCAATATGAATGAATACCAAATCATCCTTTCTTCATTTCCTTTTTGTCTGCTGGTTTACGATTTACGAATGTACGAGTCATTTGGTGGCGAATTATGAGTAGGCTCTTATGGCTCGGTTTCTATGGGAGTGGTCTACATTGATCGACTGAGACGTCCATACGCCTAGTTGTCGACTCACTAAATCAATTTCGTGTTCTACACTACGTACAGACGGTATGGTGCTAATTAAATGCGTGTAAATGCGATCGATTCATTCTCGTACGAAGTACAAATGCATAATGCACTATAGTGACAAACTCATAGATACCATGCAACATAAGGCTCGGGATTAGTGGGCATTGACAAGCATCCTCAAACTATCGTTAAGAAACATATCTGCAGTGTCACCGAAATGACCAATAAGTCTATATGCGGTGATAGCACGTCTTTAGAACCATTCACCTCCCAACCAGCGGTTGAAGAACTCGAGACTCGACTCGGGTTGATCCATCGGGACCATGTGGCCACCACCATAAAGACGCATGAAGGTGAAGTTGCCATGGGACTTGACCTGGCCGATCTTCTTGCCCTTGTGCTCATTCTCGACCACGACCAAGTCCTCCAGCTTAGCGGAGGCATATTCAGCCTGTCCGGGCCACTCAAGGGCTTCAGTCCAGGCCTTGTTGCCCAGCCAGTTGCAGATGAAATCGGCGTCACCAGCGTAGATCAGGACAGGGATCTGCTCCAAGAGTCCCGGAACCAGACGGTGGTAGGGCTTCATCCAGTCACCGTGGAAGAGGAAGTTGCGGTTGATGTCAAAGTTGCACGAGTCGTAGCCGTTGACCTCGGCGCCAACAGCCTCAATGACCTCGGGCTTGTTCAGGTAGTCGCTGACGTAGCCCATGGCCGAGTAGCAAAGGTTGGAGCTATCCTCGCACTTACCACGAACATCGTAGACGTTCTGTCCGGTGCGCTGGTAAGGGGCAAGGAGGGCGTTGTTACAGTAGATGGAGGCCGGGACACAAACCCAAGCGCTCTCGGAACTGTAGCAAGACTCAATCATAGACTGGCAGCGAGGAAGGGCGTTGTCCATGGCCTGGCAGGAGCCCTCGTCCAAGACAGCTGGGTAACCACCGTCACCACAAGCCATGGGACGGTAGTACTCGTACTGGGTGAGTCCGTCGGTGAGACCGTTGCCAATGAGAACGGACTGCAGGTTGATGTTGCGCTTCTTGTGAGACAGAATCTCCGAAGCGAAGACGGGGATATAGTGACCAGCATAGGATTCACCGGCAATGTGGAAGTCCTGCTTGGCATACTCGGGGAATTGTTTGAAGAAGAGGGTAAGCAAGGCATAGACGTCCTTGCCAGCAGCGACCGTGTCGCTGACAGCAGAGTTACTGTAGGAGTAACCAACGTTGACAGGCTGGTCAAGGAAGATCACGGACGCGTTGGAGTTCCAAGCGTAGTCATTGTAGACCGGCTGGATCTTCTTGTTGATGCTGCTAGGGCCGAGCTCCATGAAAAGACCGGTGAGGGAAGAGCATCCAGGGCCACCGTTCAGCCACAGAACAACAGGGTCGTTCTCGGGGTCATTGCGAGACTCAAAGAACCCTACAATGCGTTAGATATGAAGAGCATATAAAAGGCGTGGTCTTGAAACCAGGTGGACTTACAGTAGAACAGGTGCTTGTCGTTCTCGTTGTCATCGAGATAACCGGTGTATTGCTTTACACCGGGGTCGATGCCAAGAGAGCTAGGATCGGTCTTCTTGACCCTGAGATCATAGGCTTCCAGCTTGCCATCGACCTCACGCTCCTTCTCACCATTCTCACCAGTGACCCAGACGCTCTGGACGTCGGAGCCGCGGACGATGTGGTCCCAGTGAGAGTCGGGGCGGCGGTTGTGCTTCTTGGGGAGGGAGAAGAGAGGGTTCTGATCCATGCTCTCCGGGAAGAAGCTGGCCACCTCATCCCAGAGCTTACGAGCCTCGTCAGAGAGAGACTTCAGCTCCTCCTGGAATGCGTGCAGCGGCTTGGAGAACCCGTCGGCACTGTGATCCGCAGGGACCTCGGCCGCATGGTCGGCACCGTGCTTGGCACCGTTACCTCCAAGGACTTGCTGGAAAGGAGGGACGGCCGCAGTGGCCGCTCCAACCAGCATAGCAGCTGGAAGAACTCTCATTGTGCTGAAACCCAACGGAGTTGGTATGAAATCGAAATGACGATGGGATGGGTAGGTAGAGGATGGGTACCTTGCGGTCTGGAAGGTACGGTACCTGGGCAGGGAGCTTATCAGCACGGGTTATCAAGGGAGGTGGTTAGAGGGCATAGGAGTGAACTTACGGACACAAAGATATCAAGTTAGAAAAAGCAAGTAGCTCAGCAAATACCAGCTACTGGGTGATCAATGGAAACCCAGAAGAGGATGGAGAGGAAGGAAGGAGAGAGGAGAGAAGAGGAGGTGTACTGGATGGGCTGCAGGCAGGCGATGACGCCTCGATAGCAGGGCCGGAAGGCGGCCAATCACAGGCCGGTGCCTTCCCTTTGCAGAAAGTCACGCGCTGAGTCATGCAGCTGAGTCAGCGCATGGCACGGGACCAGCGTCATTGCGGTTTCCTCCAATCACAGGCCCGTCGGGTGACTGCCTTGGGCTGTCAACAGCATTTTTTTCAGCGCATTCAAACATAATCTCCTCACTGACGCAACTGGAGATCGACGAATCCATATATCACCTGGATTGAGTCTGTGTATACACAATAGCCTCTTGCTTTGTCGCAGAGGCCTCCAGCAACATGCCCATCAACCAACCATCAAATCAGATCAAATTTACCAATGTATCAGTCGTTAGGCTAAAAAAGGGTACGTACTGCTATACATGTGTGACCCTTCATTCGCGATCGTCTTGCGTGGCATGTCTATCAACTATGTGGGGAGATTATGCGCAAATCTCAGGCGTAGAAAGAAAAACTGCCTGCGAAACTTCCAATCGGCCCCGCAACCCCGCTAACCGTTCAACAAACAGGTAAAAAGCGTTTCGAGCTCGCCTGCTACAAGAACAAACTCCTCGAATATCGCTCCGGAGCCGAGAAGGATCTGGACAATGTTCTCCAAGTCCCCACGATCTTCCTGTCCGTTTCTAAAGCGCAAACAGCCCCATCCGCCGAATTAACAAAGGCCTTCGGCGCCGACACACCTGCAGATGAGATCCGGCAAGAAATTCTACGAAAGGGTGAAGTGCAGGTTGGCGAGCGCGAGCGGAAGGAAATCATCGAGCGAGTGGAGAAGGAAGTGTTGGATATCGTATCAGGACGGCTGGTTGATCCTACGACGAAACGAGTCTATACCCCCGGAATGATCTCCAAGGCCTTGGACCAGCTGAGCTCGGCTAGTGGTCAACAATCGCAAACACCCGGCAATGGGGAAACGGATGGGGACAACAGCGAGGAGAGCCGCCCGCGGAAACCGCTTTGGACGGGTGTGACTGCCAACAAGTCCGCGAAGAGTCAAGCGCTTGAGGCCATGAAGGCGCTTATTGCATGGCAACCTATTCCTGTTATGCGGGCGCGGATGCGTCTCCGTGTCACCTGTCCTGTGTCATTGTTGAAGCAAAGTGTTAAGGGCGGTGCGGCCGGCGGTGCTGGCGCGGGTGGTAAGGAGAAGGAGGCGCCATCCAAGGGCGGCTCCAAGTCAAACAAGAAGGGTGGAAAGGGGTCCAAGAAGGCCCGTCAGCAGGAATCCGAGGATGAGGCGGGCGGTTCTGACGCAGAGTCCGCACCTGCCAAGGGCCCGAGCAATGTTAAGGATAGGATCCTGAGCTACATCGAATCTATCGAGGCTCAGGAGGTTGTCGGCGGGGATGAGTGGGAAGTCATTGGCTTTGCGGAGCCGGGAGCTTTCAAGGGGCTGAACGAGTTCGTGGGTAATGAGACCCGAGGCAGAGGACGCGTGGAGGTGCTGGATATGACGGTGACCCATGAAGAGTAAGCTCGGCCGGGAATGCATCTGGCGCAACCATGTACAGCCTGCTATGATTGATGACTAGGAAGGATACCAAAATCATGCCCTACATATGACCATACTACAAGACTAGATCCAAATATATCATGATAAGACCATATATCTAAAGTTCATAACAAAGCCAAGGGTCATTATAGAGCTCCTTTGCACTCGACCGATTCTCCGGTTCCCACTGGAGCATCCTACGAACGAATTCAATAAACAAGCGTTTATCCTCTCCACATAGAAAGGGCGTCATATTCGAGAAATTGAATTCCTCCGACGGAATCAACTCAGGGAACTTGAACGTCCCTACACATGCAACAATTAGCATTCACAGCCCACAACAGCTACTGAAGTAAACCATACCCTGACCCGAGAACAAGCCATCCCGTATACACGGATCACATTTATCCAAAAACCGCGAGGGAGGAAGCCCCAACAGCCTAATCATCTGAGCGATGTGCCTCTCCCTGGAATATTCCCTTCGATGTTCACATAACCCATCAAAAAGCGTCTCATCAGCGAGCAGTTCCCAAAGCTACATAGCAATAGCCGTGAGTATACATCACCACAAAACATTATCTGCCGACTTACCACAGTCCCCAAATTCCAAATATCAGCACTATACGACCACCCAGCCTTCAACAGAACCTCAGGGGCAGAGAATGGCTGAGGCTGAATGTCATGGTTATGCGGAGTCGATACATCCCCGAAAACGGCAGCACTGAAGTCGGAAATCCTCAGCAAGCCTACTCCTCTCTTCAGTGGCCCGAAGTCGTTCCTAGATTCGTATATAGGACGTCCGTTTCGGAGTACATGCGGAGCGGGATGAGCTTCCTGCTGATGGGCATATTGATCAAGAATAGTGACATCTTCGAATCCGATGAGGAAGTTGTCGGCTTTGAGATCTGCGGTCTGTTAGTAGATAGGATACGAGTATTCAGATGGTAGTTCACTTACCAGTGTGTATGACATGACACTCAGAATGCAAGAAATCCAAACCAGTCAGTATAACCCTCAAGAAAGCTTTCAGAACCTGCGGAGGCACCCCGTTCGTACTTCCGAGATGTCGTCCTAGAACCCAAAGCGGCTCTCTTAAAGGCTCGAAGACCAAGCACAGATGATCTCCAAGGATACCTTGTACTTCAAACGAATCTTCAACAAGTCTAACATACCCACAACCTTCATGCTCAGACCGCAGTCCGGAAATATGCTGCGATAACTCTAGCTCATCCTCCGCGGCTTTTCTCTCCCCTTCACCGCAGTTCGTGATCTTCAATGTTACGTATTTGGTCGGTTGCCAGGGCCAGCTTTGTGGTGTTAGATAGGTATCTAGAGTGCGCTCTACTAATATATACTATTATGTGTCACTGACCGAGATATATCCTTCGCTAACCACGCGGTGGAATTAGCACCCCATCCTAGTTTGGAGATGATACGGTATCTGTTCCCGATGGTCTCTCCGATTCGGGCGGGATAGTATTTCTGAGGGTTGTAATGTGGGTTGCGTTCTTCTTCTAGTGGGTAGGTTGGTGGGGTAGACTTTAAAGATAAGGGTTTGCTGGGTTTATAGTACATGGAGCGAAGAGGTTTGTTGATTGTATGACGAAATAGAGTCATTGTGTGAGGTTGATGGCAATTGGGGCATACATGAGAACGTAGGATGGATGATGCGGGAAAAGGCGGTGCCGACATGCCAACGAAGGATGAGAGCAAGGGAGAACTGACCTGTAGAAAGCAGTAGGAATCGTACTAATGGGCCAATCGGTATGTATTCAGTATGTATCTTCCGTTCTACTACGCAATGTTTCATCAGAACAAGGAAGATACGATCTATTCAGTGTCTAGAGTATCGATTTCTGTTCGGCGTTGCAGACCAGATTGTATACATTCTAGTGACTTGCGCACACTTCAATATAATATGTTCCGCTACATCACCGCACAGCTACAGTGATATCCTTGACTGAATACAAGTAAGCAGATACCAAAAGTTTATCAATAAATCCCCATCTCCAAATTACCTCTACCATCATCCGTCCTGAATTTAATGATCACCGAGCCATCCACCACATCAGACACAACCTAATACACATAAGTACGAGTCATGAAATTACCAATCCAGCCAGATGATCTTAAATCCATCTAGCATATGCAAACTCTGAACATGATGAGCAAGAGTATACACTACTGTAGGTAACCATCAGCTGAGCCATACCATCAATAGTACCTAGCTAGCTACATGATGGGTACAGATTAACTTCGTCAGCGCAGAAGCAAGGACCAGCAGGTAGCTTGGAAGAAAGATAAGCAATTTTAGGTACATGCATACATATTTCCATCACAATTCGATAGACTTATTCTGATGTTGAATTGTATAATTGGTTTTCGAGTTTTATTGAAGTAATACTAACATTTATTTTTTATACTTACTACTAGTGTCATAGGCCAGTAGTGTCTGCCGAGCAGCAGTGTAGATATATACCATTGCTACTAGTAAGCACCGACTACAAGAAAATAGTAGTACTTATAATAAAACAAAAACAAAATAAAACCAAGCCTCTGCACCCCAGAAGCAACTACTGTAACATCCACCCACACCATCCATAATCCAGGTTAGTACAGCGATCTAAGCAGTAATACTACTAATGCACAATCACCATCCACCCACCCACCCACTGCACAGATCATCATCCCTCACCACCCCTCCCTCCCTCATCAATTTATCCAACCATCCAGCCAGCCATCCTCTCCCTCATAAAAACCAATATGAACTATGCAAGTAAGAAATAAAATAACAACAAAAACAATAACCAAGCAAAGTAAAATTACATCTACAGCTTAGTAGAAGTAGTAGTACATTATCCAACCCAAGCACAACACAAGAATCCGACCATCCCGACCATCCCGACCATCCCGACCGGACCCGAACGAACACACACAGACAGCCCCTCCAAACTCCCCAAGTCCCAAGTCCAAACACACTATTAACAGATCAAATCAAACTAGTGCTTTTGCGGCACCGTCGATCAAACCGGTCAAATTACTCCGTAGTAAGTACTCCGTAGTATGAAAAGTATATGCTAAAAAAAAAGAAGAAAGTCAAAAAGTCAAAATTCAAAGTTGGCTGAAGTATCCGACCGAAGATCGCAGTCTGGAATGTCTTGGCGGAGGGTGAAATCATCATTTGCTTTTTGTCCGTCCCTGATTTGAGTGAACCCTGATTGATTGACACTGATGCGTGTGTGGCGCGGACTAGGAGGGGATGATTGACGAGGCTTATTGTCGATAGTGGCTTGATTTATGGGGGGTACTTATTTTGATTACTATTGCTTATTACTTTATTGATTTTCTGGGAGTGAGGCGAGTGTAATCTACTTCTTTCGAACACTACGCTATTTGATGGGTCTTTTTATTATTTCTTCATTGTGTTACCTTACAGTTAGATAGGTACATTAAGTACAAGTCGGGTCAGTGGCCGGTGGGTGAATCCTCGGTGCTAGTAGTAGGCACCCACTAAGGCACCAGCACACATGACGGGTTGGGAAAACCAAGCAACTCAGTTGGATGGGTATACGCTTAAACGCAATGCACGAAGCACTCAAGCACAAAACAGACGCTTTTCGAACGTTGCTCGTTTCATGCGTGGAAAGGACCGACTCCGTCCAGGGCAGATGCAATAAATCCCAGACGCCCCTCACGCCGGATTTGCATATGTAGACTGCGTCAGCCGTCGGAAAATGGCAGCCTTGAACACGACCGGGTATTCAGTGCCGCCTTCTGCGAACCGCGACTGGAGAATTCGAAGAAGGTAAGATGCTCACACCTGTGTCGCATAGTAGATGTTAAAAGGAGAACGGTGGAAATGGATGGCGGAGTCGGAAATAGAAAAGAAAGGGACCATTGTCGATAGGGTCGCTATCCCTATTGAGTTGGCATCACGTGATGGGAGGAAGCGAAGATCTTGCCGGAAGTCGGAGCGAATTAAAAAAGGTACTATGAGCAGATCTGCACGGCGTTCAACGCCCGTGTCAGCTCCTCCGGTGAGAATGGCATGTAACACCCCTTGGGCGACAAGGGGGGCGGCGAAATTGCTCGTACAGCCGGGGAAGTGTAGCGGATCGTTTCTTTCAGCTGGGCGATCGAGTCAACCCGGTCGAAGTCGGCAAACAGAGTCATCAGGGACTCGCTGTAGCTTTCAGGCTCCACGGCTGTGGATGACGATGAGCCGCTCTCTCCTTGTCGGCCGCAGGCGTATTCGTCATGGTGAACCGAAGGGGAATCTGGTGATTGGTCAGATGGCTGGTCGCTACACATGGCATATTTTATGATAGGTCCAGGGCTGGACAACATCCAAAAGGCTGACGAAAAGAAGTATCCCACATACCAACTGTCACATCTACTTCGGGTGGTACTGTTTGAATCTGATGGGGGGCGAGGTCGTCGGCGGCGTCTTCTTCGTACCGCGCTCTCAGGAAATCCGGTATGGACGCACAGGGGGAGAGGCTGAGATCGGGAGTACGCGGGCGTTCCGCTTGGGCGTCCCCAAACGACCATGCTGCAAGTTTCCGTTGATGTTCCTTGTCGAAAGGGCCCTTGAACTTCGACCGAGGGATTTCACCGCGTTTGTAGTATTCGATCTTGATTCCATTGCCCTTGCCCTTGGACGAGGACCCACTGCTGGACCGGCGGAACACCCTCCGCACCTTTTCTCGGAAACTCATGTTGACCGGGGTGGTGAAGCTAGGCGATATGGTGGTGTATAGTGCCGATATGTGTGGAAGATCGTTGTGATAGGAGGGGTTATGCGTTCAACCGTCGGTTCAGGACCTCAATGTTGCATGCCTTTCCCGGGGAGGGATTGGACGCGAGGGAGGGTGTGCAAGCACAGACGACAATCGAGTAGGTCCAGAAACCCTCGTATCATCGTTTGCCTAGACCAAGTGTGGGGTGGAGAGGAGAGGGGGGTGGAGGGGAGAAGAGGGGAGAGTAGAAGAAAGGAAGAACGAAGGAAGGAAGACAGAAGAGGGGAGAGTAGATAGTGAAGTAAGTAAGAGAGAGAGACGAGAGGAAGGAAGGGCTAGACTAAAGGGTAACTAAGGAAGAGAGAGATATGATGGGGATTATGTCAAGGAACTAATGGAGCAGCAGTCCCAGATAGTTAGAGAGACAGCACGACTAACTGGGAGGAGTAATCGGAATCAGCGTCCATACCTATGATACAATGCGATGGGGAATTAATTACTCGTAGTTCGAAGTGGAAGGGATCTGATTGGAACGAGCGGTGCGAGGCACCATGCCGTTAGTTCCATACCACCACGACGGGGCTCCATCCAACGGAGTAAACGGAGTAAACCATTCCCAGAATGCACTGGGGCGGCCATTGACTTACCAGTTGGTGACTTATCATGGCTCGCTTGACCTTACTTTTTGCTCTGCACAGGCCAAGGTAACCTAACCTGACCCCACGGCTCTGGGAGGGTTGGGACTTTCTTGGGAGGGTAAGAGGCAGAGAGCCGGTAACTGGGTAAGCCGCGATTACCTGCGGCCAAATCCGAGGCGTGAACGAGAAACAAACGCCGAACGTGGAGGATCCACCGGGGGGGTTGAGCCAGGAAGGAGGGAGAGAGGGTTGTGCGTGAATTTCCCAAGCTTAGCCTGATTGTTCTTAGCCGGAAGACAGAATGGGGAGTGAGACTCGGAGTGTAGCAAGTTGTGCAGTAGTTGAGTTAATTATTATAGTTAAGTCTTGGGGTTTTATGTCACTCGACGAAGGAATATGCTAGATCATAAATACCATACTTTGAGGGATAATAGTAAAATAACTTATAAGAGTGGAAATACAAAGAAAGTGACTGACAGGATGGCAAAGAAAGTCTTCATCGTCATCATCACCAGTCAACTTGTTCCCCCCTCCCTTCCTTCAAGCGGGACACAACCCAAACATGACATTTTTTCGTTAAGCATTTTTCTTCCCTAACGAAATATTTCCCTCATTTTGCCCTCATTCTCATTCTTTTCCGCGGCGCTTCTGCAAACCCGGCCATGGAGTGCCGAGTCCCGATTCTGCCTTTCCCAGTTGGTCCAGAGCTGACTAACCCCTTGATTCTGAACCGTAAGTAAACTTGCCCCCCTCCTTCGGTGTGGCCCTCTTTTCACTTACCTTCCAATCAAACGTCCATCGGAGGAGGTTCACCGTCGGGTTGCATCGCCAGAACAAGGTACTACCTTAAGCCAAAACAGTCCTATCTAACCCATGGTTATGGATGCGCCAACCTCCAGACCAATTTCCGCATTACGAGTGGTCGGGAAGTTACGCATCTCCGGCCGAAGAAAGTCTCAGGGTGGTAGTAGTAAAAGAAACTCTGGGTTCTCTTTTCCCACCACTCTCATGTTAACTTACACTTTCCCCCAACATGTTGCAGGGCTGGCTGGCCGGCCAGCCGACGGACTGGGCTGGGCTTCGTAAGATTGCTGCAGAAGACAGGTGTATATCACGGTGTACTATCGCCCAGCCGGCAGAACTTGCATGATGGTGTGTGAGTAGGTGCGTGTGTGGCAATGGCAAAAAGATCAAGCAAGGTATCTGTCTGTCTGTCTCTTGCTGTCGTGGTCTTGCTGCACCGAACGATTCCAGAAACACAGCCAAGACGGTCCGATCTACGTGCCACCACCGACCGAGTCGAGTCAAGCTGCATCTTGTCTTCCCCTCGTAGCGATCGGGATGTAACCCTGCGACCCCCCGGCATCAATCATCATTCGTTCCCTCATGGGAGGCTGGAAGCTGGATGCTTCTTTCTGTTTGCTGTCGGATGTAGATAGGCTGGGGGGCGCCAGATGACTTGGTAGTAACTATCCCACGTCAGTCGCCGGAACCGAGAACAGTGCGGTGCCACTGGGACAGAGGTTCTCATCTCAGACAAGTAACTAGTACGAACACAGTAGCAAACGGTTTGACTAATGAGATAAAGAACCACCCATGGACGATAAGTAATTGCACGAATGATATCGCTGGCATAATCGTGGATTCCGACTGCCCCGCTGAAGGTGGTTCGGAGTCGCCCCCACTCGGCACGGTACTTCCGGTGACCAAAACGGCTATTTTTGACTCATCTAGCAAATTATCACAGCCATCTTTCATCAAATTGGCCTGCTGGCCCAATGGTAAGGCGCTTGACTACGGATCAAGAGATTGCAGGTTCGAGTCCTGCGTAGGTCATTCTTTTTTGCCCCCATCCTTCTACTTCATTACTATGAAGTATGCAACCCAGGGTATGCCCAAGTGCCTACCCACTTGATATATCTTTTTCTCTTTTTCTGCCATCGTCAGGCACGCAGTATATGAAATCGTACAGCATAACCCAACGACGAACTGAAACTTAAAAAGATTGTGTGAGACGCAAGGGGTTCCAGCCAAACCTGGCACGTTGTTGGGCCGTCACCACGCTCGGCGTGGCATTGCAACAACCACCATGAAGAAACTAACTTACGCCCTCCCTTCCATGATGTCATCATGGCAGACCACTCACCCCCGGGTTTTGCCTCCCTCCTTCTCCCCAGACATGATCCTTCCGTCATGTTCGCCCGTAAACTTACGTCTTCGGGCATGTATACATGTTACATACGTTCTCGATAGTTGGGGCGCAGAGGAAAGAAGTTGACGATTTGGCCACTTGTCATCGGTAAGGGATGCGAAGTGTACTAACATAGTACTAAGTACGTAGTAGTGGCCTGGCCACCTTGCGCTGCCGGTTTGGGCCGTTTCAGCTCGAGCTACTTAATATATACTAGACGTTTCTGTGTGGTGGGTTGTGTCATATTGAGGCACGTGAGAGTTACCTATGTTGGACTGTGTAGAAAGTTAAAGCTATACAAGTGTACAGTGTCTATTTCAAGCAGATGGCTAGGTCTTGGCTTTCACTACTGAAATGGTCAAGGACACGACGACGGCTGGCATGTCGACCGGAAACGGTTCCTAAACCTTTCATTCCCTTTCCGGGTTTGGCCGATCCTGGACCCGACGGCATGCCTCATGATGCAATCGACCGATCGGACACGGGCGCGGGTGTCACCGTACCTTCTGTGTCTACAAAGTACCTTGCAGTAATAATAGGAATGGTTGATTGTAAGCTGTATTGTGTAGCAGCAGACTCAAATTTGTGGTTGATTAGTATCCTGATAGTTTGGTTAGTGGTCAATAGATATCCTGCAAGTTCGACCTCTCATTAATTGGCTATTAAGCCAATGCATGCACAAAGGCATTGTACTATGTATCGCAAAGTACTTAGCTCCGGTCAAGTGAGACCTTGCCTTGTGCGGACGGCTCGCCTCGGATAAACTCAGGTCCCGCTGGGGCGGGATGGGATCGTCTGCAAGCTTGGGAATTAGTCCGCTTAACATGGCTTGTTAAGCCCCAAGCTGCAGGTACAGATCCGACTCGCCGGAATCAGGGGGATGTGCGCCAGCTCCAGCTGCCATACTGCTTGCTTGACACTCAATCGCTTCGTAATTGCCATTCCTGCCATTCCTGTAGAAGCCGCAAGCAGCGCATGAGCTGGGTTCGGTCTGGTGCAGAATAGCAACTGCCATCATGGCTGGCCAACGTGATTGTTGTCTCTTTTGTAGTCATGACTGAGAGCAGGGTGTTGGAAGGAGAAGAAAAAGAAGAAGAGGGAGATTTGTAGGGAGTCAAGCCGAGCCCATGGAGAAGGCGCCTGCAGGTAATAAACATCTGCAACCCTCATCCACGCGCAATTCAACCCATATTTGGATCCGCGTGCACTGTGCCCCTTCCAATCTCCCCTTCGACACGATCCCATGTGACCGCGGCGTGACTTTCGCCCTCGTTTGGATTCCCCCGCTCCCACAAGCATTCATTCACAAATTGTTCCTGTGTGACTGGCGCAAGCTCGACTACAACACGCGCTACAGGTCTACCTACATTGAATTGCACTGGTCGCGTGCAGCTCGAAACCAATCCAAGCGCTGGTGGTCCAGTGTTACCCGCAAATTAATTGCACCTTGACCGGGCCCTACACGGATTAACGTTCCCCGAATCGATTTAGGCAATCGGAAAGGGCCACAGGGCAACATACCAGACCAGCCCGCCCCTAACTTCCCACTTCATCTGCCGTTGGTTCTTAATCCCCATTCTCGGAATCGCACGACCTCGACGTTTCGCATCCACGATTCGTGTCCATTCCGTTCGCACAGACTGTAGGTTTTGTCCACCCATTGCTGCATTGACTCGTTGTCGTCATCGCCAGTGCACTAACAGTATTATTGCGGCACAGCATAATCCATCACAATGCCTAAGAAAGGAGGAAAGAACAAGAACAAGGGCAAGAAGAGCGGCGGTGCTGCCGCTGCCGCGAAGAAAGCAGTCGATGCCCCCAAAAATGTGTGAGTAGAACTCAATCGCACCCACATTGTGCTGTTGTTTCGTCATCGCAGGCTTGTTTCGCACAATGACACTGACATTTTTCTCTCCGGAACAGTGTACCCGCCAACGAGGTCGAGGAAACAGTCACCAAGAGCGACAGTGAGCTCGAAGCTGTCGCTACCGAGGCAGGCGTCACTGACACCACTGCGCCTGAGGCTGTCGTCCCCGAAACAGTTACCAAGGACGAAAGCGAAGTTGAAGCCGTCGCTGCTGGTGCAGACACTGGTGTAACTGCAGCGCCCGAGACCACCATCCCTGAAACTGTCGCCAAGGGTGAGAGCGAAGCCGTCGCTGCCGAGACTGCTCCTGTAGTGACCGCGGCACCCGAGGCCACCGTTACTGACATCGCCGCCCCGGTCCCCGCGCCTGCCCCTCCAGTCAATTTTACTGAGGAGGCCTCAAACGCAGTCAATACCGCGTTCCCCAAGATAAACGATGGCATCTTAGAGGACGCTGCGCAGCAGACGAAGACTGCTCAGGCGGAGACAGTGGAGGAGGGCACCAGTAAGTAACCCATGAGTGCGCATTGTGCGCAGGGCTGATAGTTTGCTGACAACGTTCATCACCAGCTGTACTACCTTCCACCTCCACCCTTGAAGCTTCCAATGCAGATACCACAACCCTGCCTGTCCGAACCAGCACCCTCGTGCCCGAGACCGCCGATGCCCACGTGAAGCGCCCCTACGAGAGCAGCATCACCACCAAGGAGGATGACCACAAGCCCCACAAGATGCCCAAGGTGGAAGATGAACCCGTCATTGCCACCGAGAAGGCAGCAGCCGCAGACACTGTTCCGGTTCCTACTGGCACCACTGTGCAGCCACAGGTTGTCCCGGGGCTTGGTGCTGGCTCCGCTGATAAGGCGTCGAAGGACTTGGAAGTTGCCGGGCTTGCTGCGACGGACAAGGATGCTGGAGCTACGTCCAGAACGACAGTGCCTCAGACTACCGAGGCCGCCCCGGCCAAGGTTACCGAAGCCCCATCCAGCGCGGCCGCTGACACCACCGCTGTCGCCCCAGTGGAAGCTTCTACCAAGCCCGAGACTGCTGCAGCCATCGCTCCCTCTGAAGTGCCTGAGAGTAGTGGCAGCGCCAAGCAGACAACCGAGGTGACACAGCCGGAGCCAGCGACGGCGACCAAGGCCCCGACCGCAGCCGCAGACAGCGAGCCTATTGCAGTTGTTCCCAGCACCATCATCAGACCCACTGGACGTGAGAGCAAAGCAGCGGATAAGACTGTGGAGAGCACTGCTGCACCCACGGCCTCTGAGGCGGAACAGCCCCTGAAGGTTGCGGAAGACAAGGAGCCGGCGACCAAGGAACCAGAGACTTCCAAGCGCCTCAGCGCTGTTCCCTCTACAATCAAGGACACGAAGCCCCAGGAGGCCCAGAAGACCGAGACCTCGGCCACCCAAGGAGTTTCGGCTGTTCAGAAAGAGGAAGGCGCTGCTGCCCAGAAGGCCGAGGAGGTCAAGTCGGAGCCTCAGGCGGAAGGGACCTCTGCTGCTAAGCCCGAAGCCGCTCAAGTCGGACAAGAGACCCAGCAAGCGGGCGCTGCTGCCCCGAAGGCTGAGGAAGGCAAGACGAGCGTTGAGCAAGCCAAGGATACTGCCAAGGGCGAGGCCGTCAAGCCCCAGGAGACTGCGAAGTCGGAAAGCAGCAAGGCCGAGAAGCGCAAGAGCGGACTTTTCGCCTGGCTCAAGCGCAAGATCAAGGGTGAGAAGAACTAAAGTTCTGCCTTGTTTCTCTGCGCTTTTCTTGCCGGAGGTGTTCTCCGGAATGAACTTTTGGCTCCTTTGGCGAGCGGTTGCCGGCCCAGGAGCCCATATTGCTGATACCCCAACATGGATGATTACATGGAGTGATGGATATTAAAAAAGCCAAACACAAAACCCAATAAAAAAAAATTATGGAATCAGGGATAAGAAAAAAAGAAGAAAAACAGATTCAGGCTAGGCAGAAAGATACCAGAGATAACATAACGCCTTAGTATGATGATGGATGGCGGGTGTACGATATGAATGGCCAGGACAGGATACCACCAGGGATAGGATTGCTTGATTGATTGCTTGATTGGGCTGGGCTGGGCTTTCTGACTGGGATGCTGCAAAGCGCTATTTTGTATTTCGGACGGACGTATGGTTCATGTTCACGTTCACGTTCACGTTCATGTTGATGTTCATGTTCATCTGGGCTGGCTGCATGGGCCGAGACTGGGACGAAGTGTATGTAATTGGCTTAATGGTAATGGAGGGGAAATGTGATGATTCTGATTATTGATTTTGATGTGGTGGTTCCGGAGGAGACCGGGATACTTCTTTATCTTTTTATCAGTGAGCGATGTAGACGTATAGCAAGTAAGTACGGGGTGATGGCTGGGAGCTGCCAACCTGGGCACTTGGCGAAGCTATTCCAAAGAGTGGATAGTTGCCAAAAAGGACAACACATCACGGCAATTCACCGCCATTTGCAGCGACGAGGATGTCGGCAGTGGTTATCGGATTTTAATTAATTATTACGAGGGACAAACCCGACTCACTTTGGGTTTAGTTGGGACCACCAGGAAAAGAATTCCCCGTCACCTCTCTTCCACTTCTTCCACTGCTTCCACCTCTTTCAACAGCTCCATCAATAGCTTCCCTTCAAACTCGCCACTATTTTCTGGGCGAGTTTATTTCCTCTCCACCACAGCCGCAATCTTTTCTCTTTTCTACTCTGATGATATTCTGATGATCCTTCCAAGGCCTTCCAAGAAAGGGGATACTTCGATCGGCTAGTCAGCGATGATATCACTTGCTATCACTTACCTTGGCCGATCCCTCCGTCAGCCCCTCCACTTGCCGCCCCACGATGAGGGAATTCGCGCCTCCCTTTCGTCCTCGTCTTCCCCTCTTTCGGACTTTTGGGTGAATCAGTCTCCATCCTGACTCCATTCCCATCGTGGCTGAGACAATTCCCACCGGTTGCCGACCGATCCAGGCCAAGCTTTCCTTAAGCTTTAGCGCCGTGTCCCTGGTCACTGTCTGATGATTCGCCCATCCGATCACACGAGGGAGGGGTCCCAAACCTCGATCCCCACTCCTTCATCCCTCCGTCACTGGCGATGGGCGTCTCCAGCACTAGTCTGGGATTTAGGACTGTGTCTGAGCTACAGGAAAGGGGCGCCATGAGTGGCTGCCACCTCTCGGGGCTGAGGACAACAGCCAACGAGTGGCTGTTCCCTCCTCCCGTGTTGTGTGAGCTGACGGATGTTGCGGCAGGCCAGAACAGGGAGCAGGGGGGACAGTTTCAATGAGCTAACTGGATTGACGGCCGTTGGCTGATCGTGGGAGCCTGCTGTTGCGCCCCTCCTTTCTCTTATTTACAACACTGCGCTCCCCCTTTTCCTGTCGCTGTTTTCTAGCATCGCTTTCTTCTCTCTTCTTCCTGTTCATCCACATTTACCACATTTAATTCGGCACAATGGTTCATCTTGCTCAGGTTAAGCGTGACAGAGATGTCGAGAAGACCGCTGAACGGGTCGACTCCATCCAGCTTGAGGATGATGCCTTCTACTCCAGCGTCTACGGCACTCGTTTCGCTACGGAGCAGCTGCCCTCGACGGAGATGCCGGAGCGGGAGATGCCTCGCGAGGTGGCCTACCGTATGATCAAGGATGAGCTCAGTCTGGATGGAAACCCCATGCTCAAGTAGGTTCGGTCGATAGCAAGATATGACGAAAGGCTAATCCCTTCACAGCCTTGCGAGTTTCGTGACGACCTACATGGTATGTGTCTTGCTTCTAGGATCTCAAAATAATGCTAATTCGAGTAGGAAGAGGAAGTTGAGAAGCTCATGACCGAGTCCTTCAGCAAGAACTTCATCGACTACGAGGAATACCCCCAGTCCGCCGAGATCCAGAACCGCTGTGTGAACATGATTGCCCGTCTGTTCAACGCTCCCACCGACAGTGATGACGAACACCCCATGGGTACCTCTACCATCGGTTCCTCCGAGGCCATCATGCTGGGCACCTTGGCCATGAAGAGACGGTGGCAGAACAAGCGCAAGGCGGAGGGCAAGGATGCCTCCAGGCCCAACATTGTCATGAACAGTGCCGTCCAGGTGTGCTGGGAGAAGGCCGCCCGCTACTTCGATGTTGAGGAGCGCTACGTCTACTGCACGGAGGATCGCTACGTGATTGACCCCAAGCAGGCTGTCGACCTGGTCGACGAGAACACTATTGGTATCTGCGCTATCCTGGGAACCACCTACACCGGTGAGTACGAGGACGTCAAGGCCATCAACGACCTCCTCGTCGAGCGGGGCATTGACTGCCCCATCCACGTCGATGCCGCTAGTGGTGGTTTCGTCGCTCCCTTCGTTGCCCCCAACTTGGAGTGGGACTTCCGTCTGTCCAAGGTGGTGTCCATCAACGTGTCTGGTCACAAGTATGGACTGGTGTACCCCGGTGTTGGTTGGGTCGTCTGGCGCTCGCCCGAATACCTGCCCAAGGAGCTGATCTTCAACATCAACTACCTGGGAGCCGAGCAGGCCAGCTTCACGCTGAACTTCTCCAAGGGCGCGTCGCAGGTCATTGGACAGTACTACCAGATGATCCGACTGGGCAAGCGGGGCTACCGGTCGATCATGACGAACATCACACGCACTGCCGACTACTTAGCCGAGCAGCTGGAGCAGCTGGGCTTTGTGATCATGAGCGAGCGCGGCGGCAAGGGCCTGCCGCTGGTGGCGTTCCGGCTGCCGGCGGACCGCGACTCGGAGCAGTTTGACGAGTTTGCGCTGGCGCACCAGCTGCGTGAGCGCGGGTGGATCGTGCCGGCGTACACGATGGCGCCTAACAGCAACTCGCTGAAGCTGATGCGGGTGGTGGTGCGCGAGGACTTTAGCAAGAACCGGTGCGATGCGCTGCTGGCGGACATTAAGCTGGCCTTGAAGACGCTCGGCGACATGGACAAGGCGATGTTGGAGCGGTACACTCAGTAAGTTTCCTGGATGAGAATGGTGTCGATCTGAGCAATTGCTAACGGAAGTAGTCATGTTCGGGTGCACTCGACCAACTCGCACAAGTCCAAGCATGTGCACCCTCACTACAAGAACGAGAGCCATTCCTTGCAGGGCAAGCATGGCAAGACCCACGGTGTGTGTTAGAGTAGACTCTGTTAGATGACAGTGGAGGATGGTGAACATGGACTGTATATGAGGCATGGACATAACACGGATACAATGATGCTAGACATCTCCGATACATGAATGCGAATGAAATCAGACATTCACAGTGTTGACGGTGGATCTCCCATGCTACTTAGTACTTACTAGTAATGGTGAAACGTGGAGGCGAGGCTTTGGACTGCAGCTAGAGGGCGACCGTCAGCACCAGCCTTGTACTATCAAGTAGTTGTTTGGCCTCGAGTCCAATGGCTGTGCAATTTAGCCCGCCTTGGGGCCGCCCGGACCCAATGGCTCACTTTCTTTATTGAATCCCATCTCATCCTGCATTGGACTATCTCTCTCCC